GTTTCCCTTCGTGAAGGCCAGTGCTGCGTGCTCTCGCAAGGAGAGAGGCAGGGAGGGCAGTGCAGATATGTGTAGGGTGGGACGTGGGACTCCTTCAGCTACGCTCCGCCTCCTCCTCCTCCTCCTCCTCCTCTTCCTCCTCTTCCTCCTCCTCTTCCTCCCCTCCCCCCTTCTCCTCCTCCTCCTCCTCCTCCTCCTCCTCCTCCTCCTCCTCCTCCTCCTCTTTCGCCTCCCTCCTCCTCCTCTCCTTCTCCTCCCTCCTCCTCCTCCTCCTCCTCCTCCTCCTCCTCCTCCTCCTCCTCCTCATCCTCCTCCCCCTGCTCCTCCTCCTCCTCCTTCTCCTCCTCCTCCTCCTCCTCCCTCCTCCTCCTCCTCCTCCTCCTCCTCCTCCTCCTCCCCCCCCCTCCTCCCCCCCTCGCTCCTCCCTCCTCCTCCTCCTCTCCTCCTCCTCCTCCTCCTCCACCTCCTCCTCCTCCCCCTCATCCTCCTCCCCCCTCCTCCTCCTCCGCCTCCTCCTCCTCCTCCTCCTCCTCCCGTGCCGGCCCGAGCAGTGCTCTTGGGCCGTGTCGTCTGCCCGTGCCGTCTTGCTTCTGCTCCCGTCCCAGAGATCCGACGCTCTCGACAAATTTGGAGCGGCAGGATTTTGGCAGTTTGGGGCCTCTGGGTGCCCTTGCCAGGCTTCGGGGGCGTGAGAAAAAGACGTCTCGGGACGAAAAAGTCCGGCCCCGGGGAGGTGGTCCAGACCTCCGGGGCCCACGCATCGAAGAAATTGGAGCAGCCGGATGTCCGGGCTGCAGGCTCGGAGGTGACCCCAGAGCTGCTCTGGAGCTGCTTCCTGGCCTGCGGCGACCAGTTCGACGCCTCGTTCTGCGGCGAGGTGCTCCGGGCATCCCCGCTCGGGCAGGCTTGACACGCCGCCGGGCCCCTCGCCAGCTGAGCGCCGAGCTGCTGCTGGGCCCTCGATAGCGGTGCGCTGCGTCGGAGCGTCCGGCCAGTCGAGGGGAGTGGAGCCCCATCCGCCCGAAAAAAATATTTGCACACCCAAACGCCTGGGGGGGGCGAGCGAGGGTCCTGGTCGCGGGTCTGGTATACAAGATTTCCTCCCTTGGGCGTGGTTTTTCTATACTGCGGTGCAATCTAAGTGGGGCGGGGAGGGCGTGGTATACAAACACATCTTCAGGACTCCAGGCCGCCCAAAAGTCGGAGAACTCGCGCAGCGACCGCCTGGAGAGAGAAGTGCTGACGCTCCTGACGCTCCTGGCGCTCCGGAGGCTCCTCGGGGCGTCCGGGGCGTCAGGAGCGTCCGAGCGCCCGGAGCGTCAGGAGCGTCAGGAGCGCCAGAGCGCCCGGAGCGTCAGAGTGTGTCGAGCGGAAGGAGCGTCAGGAGCGCCAGGGGGGCGACGGAGGCGTCACAGGTGTCAGGGGCGCCAGGATCGAGAGGAGCGCCGCCAGGAGCGTCAGGAACGTCAGGAGCGTCAGGAGCGTCAGGAGCGTCAGGATCGTCAGAAGCGTCAGGAGCGTAACAGGCGCCAGGGGCGTCAGGAGCGTCAGAAGCGTCAGGAGCGTCAGAGGAGCTGCTACTATCTTGACCAATTTGGTCACCGTCAATGAGGATAACGATGGACACTCGATCTTATATATATATATATAATATATATATCTATATATATATACACATATTATATATATATATATAAAATATATATATATAACAGCACCCTGGATGGGGCACTAATCGCCCCCCCCTTGGACCCCTGGGGTGTTGGGATGGGCGTGCTGTCGGAGCGGTGGAGGGGGTGGTGGTGGTGGAGGACGAGGAGGATGATGAGGAGGGGGAGGAGGATGAGGGGGGGGGGGGCGGGATCGGGCAAGCTCAGTCGAAAGGTTACCCCCCCCCCCTCCCTTGAGAAATGCCCCAGCCAGGGCATCGATCGTGGTGCGCGCTCTCCCGCGGGTTTCCTGCGCAGCGCTGCCCGACCTGGGGCAACACATGTGTGGTCACTGCGTCGGCTCCCGCGAGGTTGTCGGGCGAACGGGGTCCAGGCGGTGCCTCGACCCAGACGGCAGCGACGGGGTGGCACGACAGCATGGCAACCTCACGCCACCTTACAGGCTCCAAGAGAAACAGCAGTTCCTCCTCCTCCTCCTCCTCCTCCTCCTCCTCCTCCTCCTCCTACTCCACTCCCTCCCCCTCCTCCTCCTCCTCCTCCTCCTCCTCCTCCTCCTCCTCCTCCTCCTCCTCCTCCTCCTCCCCGACGATCACTGAGTATGGCACCACACACCTGCCCATCTTCAAGCACATCATGCATCGAAACTGCCCCCACGTCTCATGTATTCCGAGATCAGCCTCAGGAAGTTCAAGCCCAGGAGCAGCACACGGCGGAAGAATTGCCACAGCCAAAGCCCTACTCCGAAGTTGCCGAACATCGATCCGAAGAAAAAGCTCACCCCATTCATCAGACCGAAACAGCTCCAAGAATCTGCCCGAGAGAACATCCAACAGTTCAGCCCCATGCTCGAGTACCCCCAAGGCCTCCACGTCTTCCCAGTACATGCGGGCCCAAGGGTGTGCCTGAGAACTCAGAGAGCCACTCGAAGTGAAGACAGTGCGGGACTCGAACATACTCAGTGATCGTCGGGGTGTACATAACCCTATCATTGCACGTCACGGCTACCATGCCTTATCGAGTGTGCTGAGTATCTCGAATCAGTGCTGTGTGTGTTTCACTACTTTCTCATCGCGGGTAATCTGTCGGCGTCATCTTCACGATTATTTGGCGCGAGGTTTTTGCAGCGATACCAGCGTTTGACATCGTAAACAGCTTCAGGTACCAAGTTCTTATCAGTGTCCGCTGTGCGTCTCTTACGGTAGCAGGATCGAGGCTCTGCAGGTGCATCTACGCTCTCACCTTCAACCTCGCCCCCAGCCTCGACCTCCCTGGCTTCGAGTCCGTGGCAGCCATGGACAAGCGCCCCGCGTGGATGCTGGAAGCACACTCGGCGGGCAGCTCGGGCTCCGCGTCGCAGGGCGCCCCGAGGCGAAGGCCAGGAAGCTGGTGGAAGAGGCAAAGGGTCAGGCCAAGGGCAATGGCGGAGGGGACGTTCTTCGGCAGCTGGTGATCATCATCACCAAACTTTCGCTCACGAGCGCAGCCGAGTTGCGGGACGTTTGCGGCGTAATGTTTCACACCTTTATCTTGGCCACCGACCAGGTGGCGGCGGCCGCAGGCAAGAACGCCCGCGTGCAGTACCACAACGAAGTGCAACGATTGAAGGACGCTTCCGTGTCGACGGCTCACCTCGGCCCCCCGTTCCTTCAGGTCTGGTCGGCGTTCATCTCAGCAGCTGGTCACGACCCTGCGTGCCCAGAAGATTGCAAGAAGTGTTTCGAAGAGTACTGGGCCGAGGTGGTGATGAAGCGGGCGCCCCTCGAGCTCGCGGACGAGATTCGGGCGTGCCGTGTCCGAGGGACGAGGAAGCAGGAGTCAAAGTCGAAGAAGTTTCGTCTCACTTTCGCGATCGATTCGAAGTATCCCGAGCTCGAGCGGTCTATTATCAAGTACCTGAAGGCGGTGGGCGGAGAGAAGAAGGTAGGTGCGGCCCCGAGGGGGTCCTTGGAGTGGGACGCGGCGAAACTCCTCGACAGGTTGACCAAGGGATGAAAGCTGAAGCAAGGCCTAGCAGTAGTGTAGCCGTGCAGTATGGGAGTGGGGGGCTGGGTCGGACGGTGGGTGGGGAGGGAGAGGATCGCTTTGCGACGCGTGCCCAAGCTGCGGCACGCGCCCGCACCGTGGCGCAGGTCGCGCGCGAGGTCGCTCGCCGTCCCATGCTCGCGTCGTCGGTCAGGCTCAGGCTCAGGGAGCTTGCAACTAGGAACTAGGAGGGCCTTTTCTACTCCTCCTCCCTCGTCCTCCTCGAGGGCTGCTGCTGCGGTTGCTGTTCCTTCCTCCGACCCTCCTGAGGCCCTCCAAAGTTTTGGACTCTCGTCTGGGGACCAGGCTCTGGAAGGAGCTTGCGGCGATGAGCGCAGGTTCACTCGCCAGGAGCGTAGGTCTCCCAGAGGCGTGCGAAGTCACGAGGAAATGGCTGGACGACCGGCGGAGCCTTTTTTGTCGAGTGAGTCGTGCTGCCGTCCCCCCAAGCGCGCACGCCCGCGTAAGGGGCGGACTGGGGCCCGCGCGCTCGCTTCCAGTGCCAGCAGAGGCGGGGAAGCCGAGTGAAGCTGCCTCAATGAGGTCACTCAGGTGCCCAGCTTTTACCAGCGTCATGCCGGGGACAGTCCTCCTCCTCCTCCACCTCCTCCTCTTCCTCCTCCTTATCCTCCTCCTCCCTCCTCCTCCTCTCTCCTCCCTCCACCTCCTCCCCCTCCTCCTCCTCCTCCCTCCCCTCCTCCTCCTTCTCCTCCTCCTCCTCCTCCACCTTTTCCTCTTCTCCTCCTCCTCCTCCCCCTTCTTCTTCTTCTTCTTCTTCTTCTTCTTCTTCTTCTTCGTCTTTTTCTCTTCTTCCTCTTTTCCTCCTCGTCCTCCTCCTCTCCTCCTCCTCCTCCTCTCTTCCTCCTCTTCCTCCTCCCTCTCCTCCTCCTCCTCCTCCTCCTCCTCCTCCTCCTCCTCCTCCTCTCCTCCTCCTCCCTCCCCCTCCCCTCCTCCTCCTCCTCCTCCTCCTCCTTCCTCCTCCTCCTCCTCCTCCTCCTCCTCTCCCTCCCTCCTTCTCCTCCTCCTCTCCTCCTCCTTGCTCCTTCTCCTCCTCCTCCTCCTCGTCCTCCTCCTCCTCCTCCTCCTCTTCCTCCTCCTCCCCCTCCCCCTCCTCCCCTCCTCCTCCTCCTCCTCCTCCTCCTCCTCCTCCTCTTCCTCCGTAGCCATTTTGGCTCAAGGTTTTGATTCCCTCGGGGTCAGAGTGGAGACCTCTGATCCGAGGACAGCTCTCAGCAGTTGCGGCCTGTTCGCCCAGGTCAGGACCGCCCGACACCCAGGTCGGGCCGCTTTTGTGAGCACGGCGCCACCATGCCGAGGCGCCAGACGTACACGGTCTGCAGCGGCTGCAGCAACTGGGTGTATGATTGGAAGCTGCAGCGCACGGGAGGCTGGTGCAACAAGTGCAACGACTACCTCAGCGGATGGAGTGAGCAGCCGCCGTCTGCGGGCCGCAGCCAGCGAGGGGATGGCAAACCCCCGTGGGCAAAGCAGCCAGTCACTTCGCCCGCGGACGAGCTGCAACACATCATCAACAAGTTCCAGCTGGGGAAGGGCGCCTACGCCACAGCCAAGGCCATGGTCGACCTTGGCCCGCTGCAGGCGCTCCAGGCCCAGCTCACAGCCAAGGCGCCGACGCCCGCGGAGATCCCGAAGGCAAAGGCGCTCAGGCAGGCGATCAGCAACTTGGACCAGAAGAAGGCGGCGCTGGCGAAGGCGACGAGCCAACTCGCGGAGGCGGAGCGCTGTCTCGGCGTCGCCACGGAGAGGCACAACAAGGCGCTGGAGGAGGCAGCTGACGCGGAGGAGGAGCACGAGGCAGTCCTGCGGGCGTACTCCAGCGAGGCCATCCCCTCACAGGACGAGGCTTCGGCTACGGAGTGGAAGGCGCCCGAGGTGGATCCCACGCTCTTCGACAACCTGGACGACTTCGAGCCTGAGGATAAGAAGAAGCTACTCAAGTTCAGGTCGGATCTGTCGTCCCTCGCGAAGCTGCTGGAGAGCGCCCAGAAGCAGTACACGGAGTTCACGGAGCTTAAGAAGCAGGCGGACGCCATCCACGCTTCCCACAAGGCGAAGAAGCGGAAGGCGAACACAGGCGAAGAGGCACCAGCAGCTGCACCTCCACCAGCAACTGACGACGACTCCAAGGCAACCGCTGGCTCTGAGGCGGACAAGCAGCCGTCAGAGGAGGAGGTGCAGCAGCGCAAGGACAGACTGGAGAGGCTCCGTAACGACGCGAAGGTCAAGACGAATCCGAAGCAGGAGCCTGCTCAAGCTGAAGGCGCTGCTGCTGCTGGTGGCCATCGCCTTTAGCAAGGTGTTCTTCTCGAACATCACGCAATGGGGCCCCAAGGCCCACAAGTTCATCAACGAGCAGGGCAACGACATGGACATAATCATGATGTGCGAGACGCACTTGGCGCAGGATCAGATGAAGCAGGTGAAGGTGGACGTGGCGAAGGACGGCTGGAAGTCGGCGGGCACAGCGGCGGTGCCCACGAAGCGCTCGGCGAACGGGACCTCGGGTGGTGAGCTCATCCTGGTCAAGTCTCACATCGCCTGCTCCACCTACGACACCATCAGAGAGAGGCTGCAGAATGACGGGAAGAAGGACCCCTTCTACGGCTTCACGGCGGTGAATCTCCACACCAAGGCGGGCAACGTGGTCTTGGTCACAGCATATTGGTTACCAGGAGCTGGTCTGCACGGACCCAACCGAGAGAGGGTCAGAGCGCTGGCAGGATTCGTGAAGGCGCTGGCGGACCCGTGGGTGGTCTTGGCGGACTGGAACGTCACCTTCGCGGACATTGCCAAGACGGGCTACGTGCAGCAGATCGGCGGGGCGCTGGTCAAGCCAGACGTGGAGGTCACCTGCGACAAGGGGAAGGGCAGCCTGATCGACTACGGCATCGCAAGGAAGGACTTCGCGCACAAGGTCAAGCTGGAGGCAGTCCGCACGGTGCCTTGGCGAACACACTGTGGACTGACGCTCACGCTGGAAGGCTCGGCGACGGCCTGGTGGCACCGTAAGATGCAGATACCGAAGGAGCTGGCGACACCGCCGCGACCGAGGAAGTTGGCGGATCCGAACAGCAAAAGGACCCGCAAACGACAGGAAGAACGGCAACGAGCAGAGGAGCGACTGGAGCCGCACCTTCGGGAAGCCTTCCAGGAGCAGGCCATGATCGAAGAAGCGGAGTCAGAGAAGAAGGTTAAGGACTTCTACATCACAGGTGGGACTTGGACGGCGGCGGTGGCGATGGCGAGCTTATCAGGTTCGAGCTCGACACCCTCGGCGTCCCAGATAATTCTTTTCGGGGGCAGCCAGGGCCGCGCCCCACCTCCAGCCTCCAGCGCGTGGCCGCTCCTTGCGAGCGTTGAGCCGCCTGAGGCTGTCGGCCCTCCAAGCATGGAGGATAATGGGGTGCTGGCGTTCCCTGCTGCTTGGCCCGCCGCATCTCAGAGGACCTCATGCTGGCACCTGTCTAAGGAGCTCCAGTCATGGGACGACAAGCTCATCATCCGAGACGTCAGGCACCGCGAGGCAGAGGCAGCAGCGACGAGGATGTACGGCGACTGGGTCACCTGTCTGGAGGAGGCGGCGATCCTCACGGATGAGATCGACGAGGAGGAGGCCGAGCACTACAGAGGACGGGCTTCGGGCTTCGAGGTCAAGTGGGTCAAGGCGCGTTCGACACCAGGTCGCACCCACATGAAGTTCGGTCCAGCGGAGCAGTGGGGCATCCTCAACGCCATCCTCATCAGGTACCAGGCGCTGTACACCAACGGCACCGACGGCAGGCAGCAGGCAAAGTGCTTGGTGGAGGCAAAGGCGCAGGGCAAGGTCCTCCAGCAGATGGATCAGAGCCAGGTCTTTGGCAGGAAGCACGGCGCTGCACAGCAGCAGATGTTCTACGATATACTGGACGACCTGGCGGACCTGGATGAGGGGCAGCTCGGCAACTTAGTCATGCAGGCAGAGGGCCACCTCGCCACTGCGCAGGCGCGTGGCTTCACGGCGCAGCAGAAGAACTTCACGGCGTGGGCAAAGAAGGCATGGGCAGGCATGGTAGGCCTCCTCCATCGGCACGTGAAGGAGCAGCAGGCGCCGAGGTTCGAGCTGTGCACGGAGGAGATGGAGGGCATCGCGGACCCAGACGCCCTCATTGGCATCAGGAAGCACGAGTGGGAGCGCATATGGACGGACCCAGTGGACACGAAGGAGGACATCGCGTACCAGCTGGGCAGGCTGCGCGATCAGTCCTGGGAGCACGTGCTGGAGCCCCTCACGCTGGAGCAGCTCGACGGGGCCATCGGCGCGTCGTCGTCGGCCAAAGCAAAAGGAGTTGATCATCTTGGCCCGCGCGATCTGGCTCGGGCTCCCAGAAATGCAAGAATATGGTTTCTTCACATCTTACAGTATTGCGAGCAGGAGGTCACATGGCCGAGGCAATGGGTAGCCACCAAGTGCGCTCTGGCGGCCAAGCCCAAAGGAGGAGATCGGGTACTCGGTATGCTGGCCCTCCCCATCAAGCTCTGGTCTAGGGCTCGGGGAGGGTGCTGCACAGAATGGAGTGACGCGTTATCGGCCCATTGGGACACAGCCCTCAAAGGCAGCTCAGCCCTCCGTGCGGGGCTCCTCAGGGCGTGCCTGGACGAAGTGGGGGCAGAGCTCGGAGCATCGGCGATGACGCTTCTGTTGGACATTGAGAAGTTCTACGACACAGTCTCGCTCGTCATCCTGTCCCAGATCGCCCTCAGAGTGGGATTCCCCGCAGTGGTGGTGGCGTTAGAGATCACAGCGTTCGTGGGCCCGAGGTACCTGCAGGAGCGCAACATTCTCAGCGAAGCGATCTGGTCCACGAGGTCTCTGGTAGCAGGCTCTGCCAGAGGCGTGGGGTTGGCGAAGCTGTTCTTGCACCCGATATTAGACAGGGCGCATCGGAGGTCGCCACAAGCTTCGCTGTGGACATTCGTGGACGACACGGTGGCGAGACAAGAAGGTAGCAGGCAAACAGTCGGCGATGGCATCATCCAGGTCACGGAGATCATCACGGACGGCCTCAAGGAGCAGAGGATGAAGATCTCCAGCAAGTCGGTCCTGATAGGCACCCACCCGAAGGACGTGAAGCGGACGGCTAAGTCCATGAGGAAGAGGCAGATCCCCGTCTACGCAGTCACGGAGGCACTGGACCTAGGCCTGGATTCGTCGGCTGGGAGGAAAAGGGTTACGACGAAAGCGAAGCAGCGTGCCAAGAGAGCGAAGCACAGGTTCGCCAAGATCGTGAGGCTGCGACGCACCGCGGCCTTGGCCAAAGAGAGTAAAGGATTATGGACGGCAGGAGCAGTACCACAGGCAGTGTACGGCCACCAAGCTTTCGGGTTCGCAGTCCATGAGCTCCAACGCCTACGACGACAAGCTGGACAGGTGGCAGGAGGTAAGGCGCGTGGCCGATGCTTGACGACGACACTGGCGGTCGAGTTGTGGAAGGGCGATCCAGGGGTGGCAATACGAGTTGCCGTGGTCAAGGAGTGGATCAACATGTGGCAGCGCTACCCAGAGAACCACGCCAGGATCGTCAAGGCATGGCCGCGGATATTCGACCGTCTGTCAAAGCTTGGGGCAAAACGCTGGAGAGGAGTTCGCGGACCAGTCGGAGCGGTGCAGGCGACCATCATGGACGTGGGCTGGTATGCACCAACGGCGACGGTGTGGATGCGACCAGTCGGAGCAGATGAGGATCCAGCAGAACAGTGGGACATTCCGTCCGCCACGGACGGCACGTTCGACAACACGGGGTGCTTCCAGCAGCTGATAGACGACTTCGAGGACGACATCGTAGCTCAATACTGGAAGGCTGCAGCAGCACACCCACATGGTGAAGGTCTGGAGGATGGAGCGGATGTCTGGCAGATCCGCGCAGAGCAGCGAAGGTTCGAGAAGCAGGGGCAGCTGGACATGGTCGGGGCCAACATCGCCGTGGTCGCGGGAGGACAGTGGCCGAAGCAGCGATCCGTCGACCAAGGATACCTCCTGGACTGCAAGAAGTGCGATAGGTGCAAGGAGGAGGACGAGACCTTGATGCATCGGATCTGGCTATGTCCCAAGAACGTGGACCACGAGGACTTCACCAAGTCGGCGGACCTCCTGCCGGCTGCGATGGCGCAAGCTGAAGCAGAGCCAGCGCTGTGGCTGCGAGGACTGCCGCCAGCCTCTCTCACGCACCCTAGGTTTAATGATGAACTGTTAGAGGGGAGGGAGGTTCGGTTTGGTGAGCTGGGGGACTGGGAGGAGTGTCGGTACGAAGGAGAGATCCACATTTTCGGCGACGGCTCAGGAGGGAAGCACTCCTCGGACCCTCGCCGACGCCGCTGTGGATCAGCGATTGTAGCATTGCAGGTGCGCGACGGGGAGTGGAGTGTGGGTCGTGCTGTTGCAGTCCCACTCCTCGGTCGCAGGCAAACGGTCCCCCGCTCTGAGATTTTAGCGTTCGCTTTGGCGCTCGAAGTGTGCCGCGCTGATTTTATTTTCATTACTGATCACAGGACGATCGCGAAGACCTGGAAATACCGCATGGAGCACCCTAAAGCCACGGGTCCCAATGAGGACCTTTGGGCCCGAGCCAGAGTGGCCTGGCAGACCCACCCAGACAGAGTTGTAAAGGTAGAGTGGACGGCGTCCCATCTGGACGAGACGCCTGAGCTGCTTGAATCGCCGCGGCAGCTGTTCTTGGCAGCAGGGAATTTAGCAGCGGACGTCTGGGCGGGAGTCGGGGCGGAGCTGGCTTGGGAGTTCGGGCTGGTGGGGAGGGTTCCTGAGACTGACAAGATAGACGCGATCGCACACCTCGTGCGGAAGAGAGCGCGCAGAGCTTTGCTACTGGCCGCCGCGTCGGAGACGTCAGAGCGTGCTGGTAGAGCCCCAGTAAGTAAGAGACTTTTAAAGCAGGAGAGATTGATCCGAGATTCTCCCCACCAGCTAGAGCGTGTTGGAAGCAAATGGAGGTGCTCACAGTGCGACGTGATCGCGACTGGAGCCATGTTTTTGCGTTTTTCGGTTTCTCCGTGTCCTGGGCCCCCTGGCAAAACCAGGTCGGTGGTCCCTGAGTTCCTGCCGATTAAAGGAGTGGACCTTGAGATCCACGAATCCCACACGATCACTAGGGTCGATCGCTGGTTCTTGCAGATCTGTTCGGTCTGCGGCATGTATGCGACTGTGGACTCGAGGTCCTTGCGTATGAAGTGTCGAGGTCTCACACCGAACGGTGCCGAGAATATTCGTCGAATTGAATTAGGTCTTTTCCCTCGGCGTGAGGGCCCCCCCAGAGCCATCAAGATGGCCATTGCTCGCAGAGATGAGGGTCGTGTCGTGTCGGCCCACGAGGCCAGGGGTTCGCAGGAGAACAGCGAGCGTGGGGGGGGCCCCACCGAGCCTCCCGCGGCGACCCGCGCCCGCAACGACGGGCACGAGCGGGAGCAGCCGAGCAGTGCAGCCAACGAGTCGCGCTTCCAGGCAAACGTTCAGAGATTGCTGGCTGCTGCGAGAGGCACGGCTGCGCATGTGCGGGCGCCGCGGGAGGATTCAGAGTCTTCCGATTGACGGCAGATGCCCGTAAGCCAGGACGGAGACTGAGGGACAGGGGTCCGAGAGCAAAGAGGTCCAAAGAGGTCCTCCTCCTCCTCCTCCTCCTCCTCCTCCTCCTCCTCCTCCTCCTCCTCCTCCGCCTCCTCCGCCTCCTCCGCCTCCTCCGCCTCCTCCGCCTCCTCCTCCTCCTCCTCCTCCTCCTCCTCCTCCTCCTCCTCCTCCTCCTCCTCCTCCTCTTCCTCCTCCTCTTCCTCCCCCTTCCTCCTTCCTCCTTCCCCCTCCTCCTCCTCCTCCTCCTCCTCCTCCTCCTCCTCCTCCTCCTCCT